AGCGGCTTTGACAAAGGCGGAGGCTTTAAGGGATGCAATTCGCATCCTTTGATTTGAGCGGGCGAACGATTTGGAGACGTCCAGGCTCAGGGAGAGCGTCTTGATGAGCAAATCAGAGGGTTAGAGATAGAGGTTTCAAACCTTGGCGATCAAATCATTGCTCTTCAAGTCGAGAAGACGCAGCTGCAGGCTCGGTCGTCCTGCCACACTTCTATCTATCCCGATGTTACGCGAGATTTATATGAAAAGTGGATCCATGCTGAGGCCCAGCTAGACATATTTAAAGATATGATGACGGCAGGGAGAGTTACTAAGGCTGGTCTCAAGAATTCTCGTGCCAAGGCGCGTGCAACTCGGATTGCCTGTGGCTACGACCCAGCTACACCGGGGACTGGCGATGGCGATGAGGATCTAGACGGGATTGAGCGGGATGCCTGGTACGAGGATGAATATCCTGATGACGGTAGTGAAGACGGCGATGCTGGGTTGGGTAACTAGTAGTTACCCCTGTGGGGTGTATTTTTGTGGGCGTCTGTTTTAGCCCTTGTAAAGAATGGTTTTAAATACGAAGTGTTATTTTCGTTTTGTTTCTGGATTTCTTCTGTTTGGTTTTGTATGCTCCTTTCCTTAATCCTGTCGTTTGGATGTTTTAGGCTGTAGCAACTCGGTTTGTATGTCGAACGAGATCAAAACACCGCACTTAGTGGTCGTGATCTAAACTCAAACATAGCCGATGGCCGTATAAGTTTAATTTGAGTGAAGATAGGCCATAGTTGATATCTGAAAAACACCGAATGTGAGTGAGCAATGTCGAATGGTTACATTCAAACGAGGTCGAATGTTTTAATTCGAACGAGGTCGAATGTTTTAATTCGGTCGAGGTCGAATGTTTTAATTCGGACGAGGTCTAATGTTTTAATTCGGACGAGGTCTAATATTTTAATTCGGACGAGGTCTAATGTTTTAATTCGGACGAGGTCTAATATTTTAATTCGGACGAGATCTAACGTTTTAATTCGGACGAGGTCTAATATTTTAATTCGGACGAGATCTAACGTTTTAATTCGGACGAGGTCGAACGTTTTAATTCGGACGAGGTCGAATGTTTTAATTCGGACGAGGTCGAATGTTTTAATTTCGGACGAGGTCGAATGTTTTAATTCGGACGAGGTCGAATGTGTTCATTCGAACGAGGTCGAATGTTTTCATTCGAACGAGGTCGAATGTTTTAATTCGAACGCGGTAGAATGTTTTAATTCGATCGAGGTCGAATGCTTTAATTCGAACGAGGTCTAATGCTTTAATTCGAACGAGGTAGAATGTTTTAATTCGAACGAGGTCGAATGTTTTAATTCGATCGAGGTCGAATGATTTAATTCGAACGAGGTCGAATATTTTTTAATGTGGCTCAATACTTGGAGAAGTTTATATATTTTTTGGGCTGGCATTCCAGTCCCACAGTCCCAGTCAATCTGCTCAATATTTGTGGAAATTTACATATCTTTTAGACTGGCATTCCAGTCCCGGTCTACCTAGTCCCTTCATTGGGCGACCTGGAGATATGTCGAGAGGTTGAGCAATGAACTTCCTTTTTCTTGTCCGCATTTCGACTTGAAGTGTCCTTCTCATCGACTCGTTAAAAACCCCCTTGAGAAAACCCAGTTGGGATAAAACTCAAGTGAGGGAAAAAGAGTACGAATTGGAAGACGATTGTTCCTAAAAGTTGAAGTACTTAAGGTGGGTGACATTCTAGTTGGTTGGTAGTCATTTTCTTTCCATTATTTCTAGTTGAAATGACCATTTGCCTATTGTGGCTGTGATTTTGTATGGGTCGTCCCAATTTGTTCCCAGTTTACACTCTTGTGGATCTCTGCTTGCTTGTGTTTTGGCTTTGAGTACGTAATCCCCGACTTTGAGTGCTCTGATCTTGGCTTTTTTATTGTAGTAGCGCTCTGCCTGTTGTTTTTGGGCTACCATTCTTACGTAGACCATGTGTCTCCATTCTTCGGCTTCATCGAGGTCATGCATTCTACTTTCGTCGTTCCTCGGCCCGCTTTCATGGGAGTATATCAAACTGGGCTTTCCGACATCAATTGGTATTACTGTGTCAGTCCCATAGACTAATGAGTAGGGCGTTTCACCTGTGTTCGTCTTTGGTGCTGTACGGTATGCCCATAGCACTTCTGGCAGTAGTTCTGGCGAAAGTCCCTTGGCGTTCTCAATCTTTTTCTTCATAATGTTCATTATTGATTTATTGGAGGATTATGCTTGACCGTTGCCCGCAGGGTGGTATGGGGTGGAGAGTATTTTTTTGATATGCCACTTCTCGAAAAATTCGACGACCTTTTTTCCAGTGAATTGGGGTCTGTTGTTGCAGATGATCTCTTTGGGGAGGCCGAAACGGCACACGATATTTTTCCATATGAAGGTGATCAATTCCTGCTCGCGTATCTGAGCGAATGCTCCTGTTTCTACCCATTTAGAAAAATAGTCAGTCAAACCAATAGAAAGCGTACGTTACCTTGTCATGTAGGGAGGGGGCCGACGATGTCCATACCCACACTTGATAAAGGGCCAAAGGGAAGTGACCGAATGGAGTTGCTCGCCTGCTTGGCGGATCATTGGGGCGTATTTTGGCATTGTTCGCATCTTTTTACGAAGTGTGCGGCCTCTTTTTTCATAGTGGGCCAGTAGTATCCTGCTCGTATAAGGCATCTGACCAGAGCTCTATTACCTGAATGAGCACCGCAGTGGCCTTCGTGGACTTTTTCTAGTATATTGCGAGTTTGATTCGGGCCTAAGCATTTTGCTAGGGGGCGATGTACGTCCTCTTATTTAGGGCATTCTAGATGATGTTGTACCTGGCTGATTGAATCCGCAGTTTCTTGGCTTCTTTCTTATCATCTGGGAGTACGTCATCCTGCAAGTATGAAATAATACGGTTGCGCCAGTCCCAAGTTATATTTATAGTCCTTACCTTAATTTGGTCTATTGACGAGTAGAGGGCGACCATGTTTCCTTTACCGGTTACCCTTTTGGTGGCAGCCGCTAATTTGGCGAGTCCGTCGGCTTCATTGTTTTGTGCTCAAGGGATTTGGTCGAACCGACATTCATCAAACTCGAGCAGTAATTTGCAAATTTTGGCTTAGTACTTTTGCAGCCTTTGCTCTTTGATTTGGAAAGTCCCTTTGACTTGGTTGACGACGAGCTGTGAGTCACAACGTAGGATGACCCGCCTTGCTCCATACTTGAGTGCTAGCCTTAATCCTGTAATCACGGCCTCATACTCAGCCTCATTGTTAGTCATGTCCGGACAACTTATGAACTGGCGAATTACTTTGCCTATTGGGACCTCGAGTCCGAGTCCCAGTCCGGACCCTGACGCATTGAAAGCGCCATCGGTGTACAAAATCCATTGATCTTGTGTTTGCGGGGAAGCTTCGGCGGCTTCTTTTTCTACTTCAGGCATTATTTTTGCGTTGAAGTCGGCGAGGACTTGTGATTTTATCACAGTCTGTGGTTGATATGTGATATCATGCTCGCTCAATTCTATAGCCCACTTAGCAATTCTTCCTGATAACTCGGGATTATGTAAAATGCTTCTCAAGGGGGAAAGTTGTGACTACTGAGATGGGATGGCACTGGAAGTAGGGCCTAAGCTTTCATGAAGTTACGACCAAAGCCAGTGCCAGTTTTTCGAGGTGGGGGTACTGCGTCTTGGCGTTGATTAGGGTTTTGCTAATGTAGTAGATGGGGGATTGCGTACCTTTGTCTTCTCGAACTAGGACTGCGCTTACTGCTACTTCGGATATGGCGAGGTAGATGATGAGACGTTCTCTAGGTTCTGCTTTGGCTAACAACGGTGGTGATGATAAATAAGCCTTTAACTCCTTTAGGGCTTATACACACTCGAACATCCATAGAAGATCATTATCTTTTTTGAGTACGCCGAAAAATTTGTGACATCTGTCAGAAGATCGTGAGATGAATTTTGATAAGGCGTTGATGTGGTCGGTTAGCCTCTGAACCTGTTTTTTGCTGGTTAAGTGCTCTGTTATTCCTTTTATGGCCTTGATTTGATCGGGATTGACCTCGATGCCTCCTTTTGATACCAGGAAACCCAAAATGTTTCCTGAGGTGATGCCGAATGCACACTTCTCGGGATTTAGTTTCATACCGTATCGTCTGAGTATGTCGAAGGCCTCTTTCAGATGGTCGATATGGTCTTCTTTCTGTCTGGATTTGACCAACACATTGTCTATATAGACCTACATGGTTTTGCCGAGTTGGTTTTTAAACATTCTTGTCACCAACCTCTGATAGGTTGCCCTCGCATTTTTCAGTCCGAAGGGCATTACCCTGTAGCAATATGTTCCTTGGTGGGTGATGAAGGCGGTTTTCTCCTGATCTTCCTCCTCCATGAGGATCTGGTTGTAGCCCGAGTATGCATCTAAGAAGCTCAGCAGTTCGTGCTCTGCTGTTGCGTCAATGAGTTGGTCGATATGGGGTAGCGGGAACGTATCTTTGGGGCATGCTTTATTTAAATTTGTAAAGTCTACGCACATCCGCCACTTTCCATTCTTATTTTTTACCATGACCACATTGGCGATCCACTGGGGATATTTTGATTCCCTGATGGAGCCATTTTCTAACAATTTTTCGACCTCCTCACGGACTGCATCGTTTACTGCAGAATTGAATTTTTGCCTCACCGGGGGGTGGAATGGGTCGATGTTCAACCTATGTGTGGCGACCTCTTTCGGGATTCTCGGCATGTCTGCATGGAAAAAATCAAACAAGTCCGCATTAGCAGTTAAGAATTGACGGGATTTACTTGGTTCTTGAAGTTTGCGGCCGATGTAGGCTATCTTGCTGTGGTAATTATCGTCAAGTTGGACGGGGTCGAGGTCTTCTAAGGTGGATCCCATGGCATCTATTGTTTCGAGATCTTTGATATCGTCAGCTTTCTCATCATAGCTCGACCTCGACATTGTTAATTACTATGTATCCTCTAGTTTGCCCTTCATTTGTTGGGTGTATGTACAATCCTGGGAGATGCGATAGCATTCTCGAGATGTACGTTGTTCTCCTCGTATGCTGAATACTCCCCATGGGGTTGGAAATTTGAAGACTTGGTACAAGCAGGAGGGGATAGCTCTCATGGCATATATCCAATGTCGACTTATTGTGGTATTGTACGTCGTATCCTGGTCAATGATATGGAATGTGGTTTCCTGAGTGACGCCGCCGGCCAGGACGGGGAATGTGATTTCCCCGAATGTTCGTTCAACTGCATTGTTAAAACTTGTTAGTGTGATGCAGTTCGGTACTATCCTATCCTCGAGTTTCATTTGCGTAAGTACTCGAGGATGGACAATGCACGCGCCGATCCCATCGTCCATCATAATGTGTCTTACATCTGTATCTAATATCCGTAAAGTGATAGCAAGGGCATAATAGTGAGGGAAAACCAAACCGTAGGTATCTGACTTATCGAAGATGATACTTTCTTCGAGTTCGTCGTACTGTTCATGAGTGATTGACCGTTTGAGCTTGTGGGTTGTGAATTTTACGTTGTTGATTGAAACGTCACTGCCGCCCCCGATGATCATTTGAATGGTGCGAGTCGGTGAGGGTGGTTTCGGCGGTCCCTGGTGTTCGCGTCCTCGGGCAAAGTTGGTCCTTCCTCGGTTGCTTAACAATTCTTTGAGGTGTCCTTGATGAAGCATGTTCACGACTTCCTGTCTTAGAGCAATGCATTCCTCAGTTTTGTGACCTCGCTCTCAGTGGAACTCGCAGAGGGCATTTGACTTTCTAGTGTTTGGATCTGACCTCATTTTTTGTGGCCACTTTACTTTTGGTCCGAGCTTCTCTAATGCATAGACTATTTCTGAAGGTGACACACAAAAATTGTGAGCAGATAGTAATGGGGGCATACCTTGCTCGTTCCGATGAGTCCCTGACTTTGGCCTAGATGGGTCTTCTTCATGGCGTGGATAGGTCATGATGGCGTTTTTGACATATGGCTGATGCCTTTCTCATTGGATCGTGGGGCTACGAGATCTCTCCTGGCGTCATTTCTTCGATCCTTCCTGGTTTCAGCTTGTACCGAGGACAATCGATGGGTCGGCCCATTCAGGTCGTCTTCGTAGGCACGTACCTCGGCACAATAGGCATTGTGTATTTCATCCCAGGTGATTGGAAGATATTTCATAAGCCGGCTTAGTAGTTTTCTGGTTGCCTTGAGCCATTCATGTTCAGCCCGTTCTAAAAAGTTGTTACTGTCATTCCTTCCGATACATATGGTAAGGTCATCCTTACTCTGTTGAATCAAGCAAGGAAGTCCGCCAATCCATCTCCGAATGATTGTTTGATGGAAAATATTTCGTTCACTCTTGCCTCCGCCTTTTTAGCTCTAACATGGGCCGTTACGAACTTGTCGGCCATCTCCTCGAATGTTTCAATAGAGCGCGTGGGCAGCTGTGAATACCAAGTTAGTGCGTTCCCGTTGAGGGTTTCACCAAAAATTTTCAACAGGATGGAGGACACTTGCTCTTTGGTGAGGTTGTTGCCTTTTATTGCGGTGACATAGTGAGTCACGTGAACTTCGGGGTCGGTTGTACTGTCATAAATTTTTAGATAAGGTGGCATCTTGAACGCCTTGGGTATGGCATGTAGGGCGGCTTCATCACTGTAGGGTTGCTCGATGAACCGACCAGCGTCTCTTTTGGCAAGAGTTTTGGAGCACCTAGTATTTTGTCGACTATTTCTTAGTGCTCTCTCATTTGATCCCGAAGCATTTTGTTTTCATTTTTCATTTCTTCCATTTTCCTCAGAATGGCTGTGAGGGTGTCGTTACCTGCATTATTAGTGTTGTGAGTGATATCTGTTACTAAAGGGAGAGGGTCGTACTGCTTGGCCATTGCTGGTGCAATGCAAGCCTTTGCATTTTCTCTAACTGCCTCCTGAGTGGACTTGTTGAGGATGTCGGTCAGTGTATTTGTCGGCCAAGCCTCGAGTAGCTTCTTTACCGCTGGTGGCGCCTCTTCCGGTGTGGACATAGAAGCTCCTTTACCACGGGATGTTGTGATACTGCCATGAGAGAGGGGCAATTCACTTCGTCGGGGAGAGGTGTTAGGCGTTATGTCTTCGCCTTCTGTTTTGGAGACCTCGGTAATGGTGTTTAAGAGGTTTGTAGTGAAATCAGCCACTGCCTTCGTCCTTTCTTCTCCTTTATCTACCATGTCAGATCTGGGTGTACAAGGAAGTACAGATTTCTCTCTTATTTGTTTTTTGTGAACCGTGCTACTTATAGATCTAGAAGAAACTAAAGATTTAACTAGACAACCTCCACAGACAACGCCAAATTGTTTGACCAAAAAATAATTATTTTTGTCTAAACTAGTTGAATGTATTTGATTCGGGGTTAAGACTAGCTAATATTAATAACTTCAGCTATGAACTCAATATGCGAATACCAATAAGGTTAGAAGAAGATCTAGCATTCAAGTACTTCGAATGGCACTAAGGTAAATAAAGGGAACGATTCACTCAAAATCGAATAGGATAAGAACGACTCTTCTTCTGGCCACGATGATTGATAGATAGATACAAAAAAATTTGAACTCTTTCTTGGATCTGTTGTAAAAGATGTAGAAAGTCTTTTTGTCAAATAAGTTCTTGTAAGAGAGATCTCCCCCTCATCTGATCTCCCTCTTTCTATATATAGAGGCAGGCCCTCAATTAACCCTAAAAATACAAGTATAAAGAATAAATAACGGAATATTCTCTTAAAGGTTCTATTGCTGAACTGGCCGTTAACTTCTCTCTGATACTTAACCTCGACCATAACTGGTTGCTCGGCCATGAATCCCGTTAATGATTAGTTGACCTCGGCCAAATGACCTCGGCAGACTTTGACCCATACACTTTTGCCTTCAAACATTTCAAGTAAATAATAACATATTCACATATGCATCATAAATGTCTTTTTAAGGGAACACAAAAATCATAAACAACAACAACCACAACCCAGTGATATCCCACAAGTGGGGTATGGGATGGTAGTGAGTACGCAGACCTTACTCCTACCCCGAAAGAGTAAAGAGAATATTTTCGAAAGACTCTCGGCTCAAGAGGACGAAAAGAGACAAATACATTAGTATCATCATCAGAAAACATAGAAATAATAAAAATGAGATGAAAAGCAATAGCAATAACAAGTAAATAAGGCCATATACTATGGAAAACGGAAGAATAGTGTGAACACAACATTAAACACTAATAAACAATCTGAAACGGAACCCTATCAGGCAAGCCCCACACCCGGTACGAAGTAGAAATTGCTCAACTACCTCCTAGCCTACAAATCTAATGCTCGACCTCTACACCTTCCTATCAAGGGCCATGTCCTCGAAAATCTAGAGCCACGCCATGTCCTCCCTAATTACCTCTCCCCGATACTTCTTAGGCCGTCATCTACCTCTTCTCGTACCCGCCAAAGCAACCGCTCACACCTTCTTACCGGGGCATCTAGGCTTCTCCCCCCGGACATGCCCGAACTATTTGAATCTCGCTTCCCGCATCTTGTCATCCATAGGAGCCATGCCCACCTTCTCCCGAATAGCTTCATTCCTAATTTTATCCATCCTAATGTGCCCGCACATCCACCTCAACATGCTCATTTCTACTACTTTCATCTTTTGGATATATGAGTTCTTAACACAAAAATCAAAATCGATAAAACTTATTTGGTTTGATTTGGTACATATCAATCAAACCGGCTTTTAACTTTTGGTCGTTGTGTAGATAAAAAGAAAGTCAAATTGAACCGCGTTGAAAAAAATTAAACTACAAGAAATCGTATATTCTACGTGTTTAAGTTTTACTAGTTTTAGGGTATGCGCTTTGCGCGTATACCCATATTAGTGAGTACACAACTTTTAAAAATACGCAAATTTTATTAGACATTGTGTTTGAGTTATTTTAAATTATACAAAAAATTAAAGAAATTCATGAAAATAATAAATGTTGTTCATATTTAGTAAGTTCAATAAATGAAGAAATCATATCCCTCACAAGTTTTCAAATGACTTATTGTAATTTATGAGGACTTATTTGAGATTTTTTAATGAAAATTATTTATGTGACCTAATATTGAAAATAAAAGCAATACTTAAAATAAAATACAAAATACTTTTATCATAATTCGTCAAAGATTTATCAAATAATACAAATTAAAAATTAAATCCTTTGAATGTTTTAGAGATTTGGGTATGAAGATATGGGCCCTGTACCTTCTAAAAATTTAATAAGGACAATATAAAGTTTAAAAATGACTAATATTGAGTGAATATTTTACAAACAAATAACTTAATATAGAAAAGAATGTAGTAGGATGTTGTCATTTTGTTGGACTGATGCAAAAAAAAAAACAAAAAAAAAACTGACAATTCATTTATGATGCATTTTAGCTTCTACTATTTCATCCTTATCACTTTAAAATTGTAGTTTTATCAATTTGACTTTTAATACTATACTATTACTCAGGACCAATTTGCTTTATTCTCTGATTTCTTTAACCGTCATAACTTTTCTTGTATTTGCAAAATGATTAGTGTTTTGAAATATTGCTAGAGTAGGAAAGTAATTCAAATAATATGAAATATTAATTGATCTTAGAGACTTCCTACCTACTCAAATATGCAAGGATTTAATTTTTAAAAATTAGTTTATCTTTAAATTCTAAAATATTAGAAAAATTAACAGGGAACGCATTATGGTCGGCATATTGATCAAATTTTACCTTTAAAAATGAATTTTACATTGAATAAAATTAAGTTTTATTATTTTTCTAACATTTACGATTTTAAAATTAATTAATATTCTGGTTACTAAATCCTTTTAATTTAAAATTGATTACGATTTTATCTTATTTAAACTATGTTATAAGTATGTAACACAACTATAATCAGTACTTTACTTAACAGTATGATACTAATCTTTTTACAAAGTCAAAAATAAATTAGACTATTGTCATTTTCTTTTGTTATTGCTCGTACAGATTCATTCATCACATTTGAAAACTATCTAAAGACCTTTTATCTGCATCTTCCCTCGTAGAGTAGCGTCTTTTATAAGAAAAGACTTTTTCAGTGAAACTAAAAAACAAGAATGTTAATTGCTAATTTATAAGTAAAAAACCAAGTGAAGTACATTATGTTATCTTTTTCAGCATATATATATAGAGAGAGAGATAAAAATATTCTTAAAATATTAAAAAACTTTTAATTTTTTGATTGGACGTCATAGTACTCTATATTTATGTATCAAAATATGATACAAAAAGTATGGGCTTATGCTTCTTTTTTTTTTTTTG